TTTTTCTGATTTAAAAATTACTGTGCTGCAGCTTTAGACAGTATAGTTTGTAATTATAATCATTATGTTATTCAAAGCAGCCTTAAGAATCTCTCCTGTATTTGAATTTTTAAACAGATACTCTTTTTAGCTGCACTGTGCCTGTGTGCTTCCTTCTGTACTTGCCCAGATTTGGTGGATTTTATAAGAAACATATATTGAAATGATGTCTATGATATTAAAAGCATTCCAGTTGCCAGCAGGATATGAGCCTGGGAATCTGTCAGATGATGCTCTCTGGCTATTTGTGGTCTTTTCCCTTTATTTTTTTTTTTTTCCTTTCCCCCTTTTTGACTTTTACTGGGTTGAAATGATTATTAACATCAAAAAATTATTTTCTCCTGCCAGTGCCAGTGATGCTTCTTGCTTACTGTCTTCCTGAAGTGCTTTAACTTGCTCCTGTGTATCCTCCTCTCCTTTCTCACCTTCCCCTTCTGGCACAAATGCCTTCAAGCCTTTTCATCCAGTTCCCTTCCCCTTTAATAATCCTGTGCCTTCCCTCCTTGTCTTTTTCTTTCTAAACCTTTATATATCATTAAAATGCTGCTAATGTAGAGTAGCTTTCTCAGGCTAATTTTGAATTTACTGATAATTAGGTACATAAACCTCTCAGGCAGGTTTTTGGGCAGGTTTTGAGCCCACAGTTCCCGATTGCTGCAGTCTCTGATGAGATGGAAACCCAGGCTGCTGTGACTTCAGATGGATAACTGTGATGCTTTGCAGTACTTTCCCATTCTTTTTCTCCTGAATCCTCCTTACCTTTGGATTTTATCTTCTTTTCATCTCCCTTGTATAGGAAACTTTTTCAACAGCCTTTGCTGACCTGCTTTGGTCCAATTTTAAGCTTTTAAAATTCAGTTCTCCTTCCCCAAGGTTCTGACAACGTCCTTTCAGACGTTTTATGGACACAATCACCTGAGTCCCCTTTTGTGTTTCTGAGTGTTCTTTGAGGCTGCCCTTTCAGGTCCTCTCACTCCTCTGTGGGGGTGAAGCTCACCTGTGTGTTCCTGCACACTTTTGGAATCAGCTGATCCACCTGCTCTTTCCATGCGAAAGGAGTCCCAGCCCTTCACGTTGTTGACTTGCAGTCGGGTCTTCAGCATCAGTTTCAAACCCTCTGTCCTGGGAGGAGGAGACTTTGGGGCAGGACACACATGGACCCTAACACAAATTTTTAAAGCTTATATATGAGCAATCTCAATAAACATTAGATGCTTTAAACTGTATTTTACTACTTAGGCATATCATTATGGTGTCTTTCATGTGTCTTAATTATGTTTCTTATTTTCTCCTTATCCATGAAGTCAGTACTGGGTCCCTCTGTGTACTGCAATAAGGGCAGATAGTATAGGTGGATAGTTGAGGAGTATTTTTGAGTTTTCCCCCTATGAATAAATACAGTTTCTTCCTGTAAATTCATGGAAGTCTTTCTAGAATTTCTAGAAAACCCCATATGGTATAATGGCAAAAGAAAAATTAAAAGCCAGTTGTTTTTCTTACGTGTATAAGAAAACATTTGACAGACTAGGACCAATGTGCAAATTTCTTTTTTTTTTTTTCCTATTAAAAGTGAGCACTTCCAAAATAGTTTTTAAGCCAGAACATAACATAGTTCAAGAAAATGTTTCCTGATGGATAGGTCATCTCCTGAAGGGCAGGTTGCATTTTTAAATCCTGCTTGTTTGTAAATCTGTGTTCTAAAATGAATCTGTTCTGAAACTTTGCTATTGTAAAAACCAGAGAGTTATTTGCTAGAGTTTGTTCCTGTAGCAAGAACAATGTGTATTAATTTATCTGGTACTTTTATCCCATCGTTTCTGTGTGACTGTAAAAAAGCAAAAGTAAAATTTTGGGAATGTCTGATGATCAGCTTGGTGAATCATTTGGAGAGCCTGCTTTTAGTTTTATTAGACCAGAGCCACAAAAAAGAGCAGTTTCATTTTTGAGCTGCTGTTACAGATCTTAGATACTCCAAAACCTTGCTCAGCTGCTGCTTGAACTTGGAGGTCTCTGGTCTTTTATATTCAAACTCCTCACATAGCCAAAATTCTGCTTGCTCTTAACCCAGAACCTGAGAAGGAAGTGCTGGGCTCTGCTGGCTCTCACTCCTAGAATTTCTTCCTCCCCTTCAAAAACCTCTGCTCCACCTGAATTTATCACTGTCAGATTGAATGAACAGAAGGGAAATGAAAGGCATTAAAGGTTTTGTTGTTTGTTTTTTTTTTTTTCATTGGGTTACAGAGAATTTTTTTAGGATTTTAAAAGTTATAATCATAAATTATTAATCAGCGTGGAGGCTCATCAAATTCAGGGGCCCTTTCCTCGAGCTTGATCTCAGTTCAGTCTGTTTTGTTCAGATTTTCTTTCATTCGTACAAACATTTTTCCGGCTCGAACAAAATAAACTTTTTCAGCTGAAGGGTGAATTATATTGTTTGCTTGTGCATAATCTATGAGGTATCTACGGGTAAACACGATTCCTTTCATCTTAATGGTAACATCTTGTATTATTTGCATGCTTTGTGATACTATTTATGTTGACATGGAGGTCGGTTCTGACAATACACAAACACAAAGTTAACTTTGTTGCTCAAGTCAGTGAATACTTCTATTTTTTGCTTGTTTTTTTTTCTAAATCAGGATGTTTGTTTTTCCTGAAAGGGCTTGGAAATATTATTCCCCAAGCCTTTCCAGGTGCAGTGTGTTCAAGCCCTGGGTTTAAGTGCACTGTCATTTTGTTTTTCTGACACATTTCTTATTTAGGGATCATAATGTCAGTTCTTGATTTTGTAGAAAATACCAGAGCATGAATTATCAGTAATCCATATGTAGGAGTCAAAGCCTTTCAGTGGAAAGTCTGCTACAGAATAAAATAAATAAGTAACCCCCAGTGGAAATGCCTAACACCACCTTTATTGGCCAGTCTGCATGAAACTGGTGTCAGTCAACCTGGAGCAAGGGATCACCGTGGGAAACAAAACCTCTTTGCACTTTTGGACAAACTGGGCTAAATTTGAACCGTCTGAAAAGGAAATAAAGTCAGTCTTTGGCTGTGGCTGGACCAGACCAGCTTTCTTTTGTGAGAAATAGAAGAGGAAGTATTCTCTTAGGACCCAGAGTATTTGTCATACTTAATTCTAAATCATATGGAATGAAAAATACTGATAGTGAATTCTGATGTTATATTTGCCAAAGCAGACTTGCTTGTACTAGGAAAGCGCTTAATACAAAACAAGGCAAAAGTGAAACCCCTGATTCAGAAAAGGAACCTAAAATCTAACAGACCAGTGAAGATGACTAATGTTAAACAGAGCAAAGCTGGTTAGTGCTTCCCGAAACATTCTGCTGAAGGAGGAAATTTGCAGGTTTGATTTTGAAGTTGCATTTGCCACTGGTGTTAAGCAGCTTAAGGTGCTGAACTTACAAAAAGTTGCTTAATTTCTTTCTTGAGTGCTATGAAAATTGTTTCTTTAGCAAGGTTCTTGTACTTCATTTAAGTCCAAGAGCATCCCTGCTAGGAGAGCCCCTGCTCTCGGGAGCGGGCTTTGCCTTTCACTCAGGTGAAGTCTAAATGCAAACTGCAGAGGAACTTTACCAAAAACTCCCTTTAGTTTAATTTTCTTTCAGGCACTCAGTGGATATTCAGTCTCATCTGTCTTCCTCTGACTTTTGGTAATTTTGTTATTGTTCATAGCAGAGAGTAATTACTCAGCTGGTTAATGAATTATGATGCTTTTGTTACCGGGAAGTCTTTGTAACTTAAAAATAGAAATACAGATTGCTTTTTAATTCCTTCTGATGACAGGTGACATATATACTGAAACTAAACTTTAGTCATAGGTGGAAGTGTCACGGTTGCTGAGGTGCTGAACTCCCTGGTACATGGGGAAGGTGGAAAAGGGATGGCAAAGTCCACCTTTGTGAAAAATGAAGAGATTTCTCCTTTGGTCACTCGGGGGGGAGTCTGTGCTGTTAAGGCTGAGATCTTCTCTCTCCATTGGGTGGGATATCTCTAGATTGAGTGATTTTAGTCCAATATTTCTTTTATGTCTTCTGTCTTTAAGAAGGAGAGCTATGTCAGCTTTATTTTGTGAATACTATCTAGGAAGTCTATTTAAATTATAATTGCCTATCGGAAATAAATAACTGATGTATGTGTATAAAGTAATTCAGAATTAACAGTTTAGAATTAATGCACAGAGTGCATTTTTTAATCCTGTTTTACTTGTGACAGAAATAATGTACTTGCAGTTCCATAAGTATGCCACTGTATTTCTCTGGAATCTCTAGAATCTTCTTGTGTAAGGAAGATTGCTGAATTTATATTAGGCCATTATTTTTACCCAGTGTTCTCTAATACATTTCATTATCACACTGAAATACTTCCATGTACTAATACCAATATACAGTAGCGACACACTTAGTTCATCTCATCGTTTTTGTAACAAGTGTTCCTTACAACTGTGTTTAGTTGAGAACATTTAGAAATTGCTTTGAAAATTATTTGTTGAACCCTTTTAGTTTATTTAGGGCAAGGAGGGGTTAATGTTAATTTAGTGCCATTGCTTTCGATTGATTAATGTCATTGATTGTTTTAGTCCTTCTTGCCACTTTCAGTAAGTTGTCCTTATTTCTGCAGATGCTTCATGGCTCAGGCAGAGCTATCAGCCCTTCTATGAGACAACAGAATTGGTGCTTTCTTTTTCCACTGGTTTAGTTTGGGTTCACCAGTGATGGGTTGTTCAGCAGAAAAATTAAAAGATCTGAGATTTCTATTGATTTCTTCTCTTTCTCACATCTTTATTTGTGCTTTCTCTCCATTCTGCCACATTTCATATTTCATTAGGAGGCAGTACCTGGAGAAAGGAGTTCCATTCCTTATCCTTGTTGTCATTTCCCAGCAAGTTTTCCTTGTGACAAACCCGACCTTCCCCGAACTGACCCTCAGCCTTGTCTTTGCAGGGTGTGGAACTGCAACAGGAGGAGCTGAAGATGAAGGTGAGGCTGAAGCTGGCTGGATTGAAGGTGCTGCCATCCTACTCTCCGTTATCTGTGTTGTCCTTGTCACTGCCTTCAATGACTGGAGCAAGGAGAAGCAGTTTCGGGGGCTTCAAAGTCGTATCGAGCAGGAGCAGAAGTTCACTGTTGTCCGAGGTGGACAGGTTATCCAAATCCCAGTGGCAGAGATAGTAGTTGGGGACATTGCACAGGTGAAATATGGTAAGTTCTATCAACTGGCTGTCTGCTTTTATGGGCTTTATTTCTTCTCCTTTCCCTTTCCATCACTTCACTGCAAGTGATTTAAAAGACAGGGTTGTGTGATGTCAACGTTTTGATGGTAAGGTAACATTTGACTGTTAGGGGGAAAGGAGGACCTAATATACCTGCTGTAAAATTGTAGTAGGTAATCAGTTTTATCATTGTAACCTTCACTTTTTGCTGGCCAAGAACTCTTCATTCAAAGGTAGTTTTCTTTCATGGAGGATTTTACGCTATTTGGAATTTTTGGTTTTTATCCAGACAGGAATAAGAGAGGAAGTATTTTTAAATGCTCTGTAAAAGGGAATTGGGTCTCTGTGCTCACCTCACTTTTAATAAGCTGCTCCAGATCCAGATGGAGGCTGTAAGTTCCCCCAGATCAGATGCCTGATAATTACGTGTCATCAGAAATGCCCTGAGCTCCAGTGAAGTGGAAGACTCTCACAGTAACTCTGTTTACTCTGTGTGTGTGTGAGTTGGTAAATTCCAGCAAAATGCCACTTCTCTCAGCCATCAAGTTTCTCCTGGACTTAGCTAAGGGCTTCTGGAGAGGGGCAGGGGAAAGGGCAGCTCGACTGTTTATCAGCCACTGTTAATTCCTGTGAAGTCTGACAGAGAAACCTCTTCATGAAGAGCTCTCTCCCCGCCAAACCTCAGTGACTGGGATGTTCATGCTCTGCTAAATATGAGGCATCCTGATCCTCAGGTGGAACTGAGCAAAAAATACTTGAAATACAAACAACCTTCCCTACAGCATTGCAGCACTAGGGCTAATACGGACAGAAACAGGAGCAATTCCTTCACTTCTGCTTTCATTGCAATTCGGTCGCTGTTAATTGTGTTTTTATAATTAAAATAATGACATAATTCTAGGAACAATCTTACTAATGCACAGGGGTTTTCTATGACCATGTTCTTACCCAAAGGTGATCTCCTACCTGCTGATGGGATATTTATTCAAGGAAATGATCTGAAAATCGATGAAAGCTCCTTGACCGGAGAGTCAGACCAGGTCCGCAAATCTGTCGACAAAGACCCAATGCTGCTGTCAGGTAAATCGCTGCTGAGTTATCTCGTGTGCTCTGCTTTGTCCGTGTTTTGTTTTGTCTTCATTTGCCATGCCATGAGGTCCAATGTATTTTAAATGGTGACACATCCTAAAGGAGGTTCCTCTGAATTTCTGAGTGAAATTTTAGAGATTTTCTGTGTACTTGGTTTATGCTTTTTGTGTGGCCTTCCTAATTTTTATGTTTGTGATGTTTTGCTGAAAACAAAAGACTTCTCAAGGAATCAAATTTTATCTCAGAAAGTCATAGGAACAGTTCTCAATGCACTGAAGAGGTCTGCTGCTTTTTGTTGTTGTTGTTATTGTTTTGTTTAAATACATCTGGCCATTAGTGCATTTTTGTTTTTATTTGGCTTATTACTGCTGAAATTTTCGTAGTGTTCTGATGAGATATTTATGCTCTCAAATTAGGCTCAGTGTTGACAGATGTTCCCTCTAATCTGTTTTTCTGTTTTTGCTTTTAAGAACATGGGAGATTTTGGTTATTTAGAGAAAGATATTTTGATTATAAATAGATAGAACATGGTAAGCAATGCAACTAGCACAGCCACTTGATGACCTCTACTAAAAAAAATGGAATTTAAAAAAAAATGTGTTGCAAGTGTGTGTGTGTAAATATGTAAAACATTGGTCTAAGGACACCTCCATATACC